CTTTATAATTTAATTAATACTAAGTCTTTTAATTTTTTTTATGACTATTATTTTAGTTTATACTATTGACATTTATATATTTACCTATTTATTATTTTGTGCTTGCCGGAGCCATATGCTAATAATAATAATAATAATAATACTACATGCAACTGATCAAAAAAATAACTCAACTGTTTAAGGGTTTGCAATTGACATTGTGCGTGTTTTCTGGACCTTTTTCAAAGATTAAGTTTCTATAATTTTAACTCATGAGCTTAACAACTTAAATACTTCGACGAATATCATTATTTCCCTTTTACGAAAATTGTTTTTCATTTGATTCAAACATATAATTCTATATTGTATTAAAAGTATACTAATATAAATTGTATAATTTATGAATTATTTAAATTAATTACTATACTTAACGCCTTTAAATTTTAATTATATTTAAGTCTGTATAATAAATATTACCTTAAGCCATGTTGAAATTAAATGATAGTAAAAATGTATAAACTGGTGTTCAAAACTTATAAAATTATCAGATATCGAAAATTTTTTTTTCAGTTACATCTATATATTTTTGTGTTAGTATCTCTTAAATCATTGATTTTCAATTAAATTTGAAATATAATCAATTAAATAAATATAAATATTCAAGTAAAATTAAAATCACATAGTTTATAAACTTAAACTATATGAAAAATGTCTGAATAAAATACAATTTTTTTAATTAAATTATTAAAATAAGGGAAATTCTTATTTTACTCATCATATATTATAAATATTCCTAAAATTCCTAGTTCTTTAAAGATAAACGTTAGCACATATAGAATGTATAATTATTATAGTTACTTGAAATATCATACGACTTTTTTTAATCGTATCATTATGATAAAAATTAATAATAACTAACCATAATTATCAATCTCGTGATATATTTTACTAAAACGATTCAATTTATTTTATGTTTTTATTACACGAATGCTGTCAAATATGCGTGGCTTTATCAAATTTGACAACATTATATAAAATTCCTGACTTCTGTTGAAATACATTTCGATTTTACAGTATATACTCAACTGAACCATTATTCATCTGAATTCAATTTATATACTCACACTTGATAAAAGAGTAAAAAGTTCTTTTTTTAATCATAAACGTAAAAGAAGAAACGAAAAGGAATAAAAATTGTAACGATGCTCAAGTTTTTGGTGGAAATAGCGTTAGGAGAAAAAAAAACAATAATAACGACTTGTTCATCGGGAAAATTGAAGGGAAATCGTTCTTTCAAGTGGTATAATCATAAAAAAGACTCTCAAGAAATTGAACACGGTCGATCGAAAACCAATTTGGATGCAAAAAAGGCCCACATACTTTGAATTAATAAAACCTCCCACTCACCGCGTTTTTGGAGTATTGTGCAATGTTTTTATTAGTACTTTATAAAGGTAGATCATAATCAATTTAAATATTTTAACAACAACAAACAGTTATGATTAATAAATGCCTAAAAATATATAAACGATCCGAGTATATTTTAATGTATTTTTAATTTTTATTATAAACTTTCCCTACTATTTTTTAATTGCTTAAGATATTATTAAAAATACTTAACAATACGGTACACACACACACACACACACACACATATATATATATATCGAACTTTAATTAATGAGCTTGATGTAAAATGTTTTATTACGGTAATTTGCAGCTCCTGAATGAAAATCTTTGCGTTGATAGTCATTATAACAAACGTCAGTATCTTCGGTTATGACTTTGAGCATAATTTTTCGGAAAGCTACTTTTAATGGGATTCAATTGTAAAGCACTCATATTTGAACCCCAGGTAGACTGAGCAACATGCTTATTCCGTTCTAGCTTATCATTTTATTGTACAAATTAGTTTGAATTCTAACCTGAACTAATATTCCATTTATAGAAAAATTTCTAGCATTATCCAAAAATTCACCTATTATCAACCTAACCATCGAAAAACTAACAAAATGATTAATTCATCAGTTAATATACAAACGTCCATTGTGGAAAAAACCAATATTAAAAATCGTCGCAGAAACGACTGTAAATAAAACAATCACATATAATGAACCAAGCTATCGCATTATCTAAAATAAACGGTATTAAACAATTATATTATCTTATATTAATCAATAAACTCACTTCCTCTTTAAACATAACAACAGCATCTACGATTTCAAATGTCCATTTTTATGTCTTCCTTAAAAACCAAGAAATCGTTAACGATTTAATTAAAAAATATCAAAATATTATAATTAATGAAAACATAATTCTCATAAGAAAACTCATCAACCTATCAAAAATCATATGGCCCAATTATATACAGCCAATAATTCAAGACTAAATAATAATTAATACCCTCCACGAAATGAAAATAAGAACAGCATCTAAAATCATGCACTTGAAAACTAATTTTTCCACCGAACAATTTTCACACATCATCAACTTTCGTAGACAGATGTAGATCAATCTAGAAGACTTTCTCACCTATATATAGTTATATATATATATATATATATATATAACTATACCTATCTATCTTTATTAAGTTTATGAAAGAAAATACTAATTTTTCGTATATTTATTTCTAACAACATATCGATATGTTTCTAATGAAAGCAAAACAGACATAATGCAGCAGCATGTAAAAATAACACAGCCAACATATAAAATGCAATAATTGAATCCATACTAGAAATTAATATATCTTATAATGAAGATACTTTATGGAAACAATAATATAGAATACGAGGTTACGAACAACGCTCTCATCACAGGAACCAAAAAAAATGTATAAATAAATAAATAGTCATCAAACATTATCTGAATAAAAAAAACTCTATCTAACACCACCTCTTTTTTCATCCACCTCTTTTTAAATAGAAAATTATTTCACAAATTCACAAGCTCGAAATATATTAAAAAGTTAACATAATATAATCAAATCAAAAAGCACAAAAAAATGAAAACTTAAAATAGATCACGATCTAATTTTTCTTCAAAAAAAAAAAAAAAAAAAAAAAAAAAAACGAGAAATGAAAAATATATATATATTCCAATTAGAATACTTTTTACTTATTCGATCAGTCCATCGAAATCAACTTCAACATTAAACTATTTAAATACATAATAGAAAATACTTCAAATAAAGTTCACACAAATGTGAAAAAATGAAACAGATATTGAAAGCTCACTTAAAATAATAAAAACTGTACACCACATCATAAAGGCCAACGATACAAAATCAAAATAATAAAATCAGCAAACCTACTTTTCCAAATTATAAGTAGGTTTTACTAATATTCAGTCATACTAGACTACCATCTGGTCATCTAATGGACAACAAAGAGTCAACAATTCATACAACGAAATACTATCAACCAAGCATATACGAGAATATTAGAATGTCACTCATAGAAATACGAAAAATTAAATATAATATTCCAACTAATCTATACAAAGCTATGGGATCGAAAATTACTGATGACCTCATTAATTTCCTTATGGATATCGGACTTGACAAATTAATTTAAAACAAAAAATATCTTTTTTTAAATAATGTTATACATAATTACAAATATGTAGATTAAAAAAAAAAAACTAATGGTCACAGTAGCCGATGTTGTAATTTGGATTAAAAAAAGACTTGATTACATGAACTATAATGGTGTTGGAAAATAATTTTCCGAAAAATCAATATTATATTAACTTCAGAATGAAACTTTCGATGTTATTGTGTTTCAGAATTGTATACGGAAACAGTGGTATGAACAAATTCATCTTAAGTTTTTCAATCACAAACAATAACTTGTTTGAGAGCAAGTACTTTGTTGATGGATCGATTTATAAAGATAAAATTTTTTTGTCGACGTTTCGGACGTTGATTACAGAAAAATTGAAAATTTGATCAGTCGTATCGTTTTGGTATATTTCTATTTTTCAGTTTGAACTCCAAACGAATTCTTTATATTAGACTACCAAAGTGCGTTTGTATTAATTTATATTAAATCAGTGAGCACCAACTCTTGTTTGAAGATAAAGTGTTTGTGTTATCAATAAATATACCTAGCTAACAATTAACTACCTGTCGTAGATACATAGTAAAACATGAGATGATAAAAGTTTGGAAAGTTTATTCTTTGGAATAGTCCGGATATTTAATTGGATCTAAGATTGAGTTAAAATCTTTATGACTTGCCTATCGTAAAGGATTTATTTTTTATTTCAAGCAATGAAAATAAAACAGTCCTTCAAAATACATGATGGTAAACCTGATACTAATAACAATGATGTTTATAAAAATGGTGGCATAAAAATGATATTATTATTTTATCGAAGGAATTATGTTGTTGAACAACATGTTATGTAAATAAATTTATGATAAACCGAACAATTTTATTTTCAATTGAAATTGACTAATATGATTGTTTTGATTTCACTCATCCTGTTGTTCTTAATATTTTACAACGTAGCTATTATTGATAATATAATATATTAAAGTATTCTATGATACACACGAGCACATTCATACGTGAATATATAATCATGTCATTAAACTTTTTTAAATTCCTATTTATGATGATATTATCAGACTCATATACGACTCGTAAGTATGTAAGTGTTGAAAATTAATTAAGATAATATTATTCAAGAATAGTGTAAATCTAAACACTATCAATATCTATATATTTTATATATTAAATAAAATATATGAAAATATGCATCAGATGTAAATTGTCCACGTAATATATTTCCACAATATTGACTTCTATTGAAATCAAGTAAAATGCTAATATATATGTACAATATAAGTTATTTATAATAAGTCTATTAAAAATGGTTGTCCATTTTGTTAACACAGTATACTCTCATACTTCAACGAACACATATAATACGAGTATAAAAGTATTAGTTATAAAATCTATTATAATATCTATATAATTGAATGTAATATATATTTGAATTATATTCGATAGGAATGCCAAAATTTGGCGAAGACCTGAACAACGTAACTGTGCCAGTGGGTCGAGAAGCAATATTTGTGTGCAACGTCGAAGGATTAGCAACGTATAAGGTAAAGCTTTTTACTTTAAATTTACATATGAAAATAATATACCACAATTTTGTATTTTATAAATATTGACATATTTCATAATAATTCGACATAATATTAGACATTTTCCTATAAATTTAAATTGTAGTTACTCATTTCAGTTACTGAGTACTTATATTATCATTTTAAGGATATTTCATACTTTGAAATTTTTCAAATTTTAAATTGTTTTTTTTATAAAAATTAGAACACTTAAATTCAACCTACCTTATTATGAAATTTGGTTATGATGTTAGGTTCTGCTGTATCAACTATATTTAGAAATATATACTGATTCACCCCTGACTTTTTTCAATAAAAATCAAAATAGGTATTTGTTTTAAGTTAAATAAAACCAATACACCAATATTTTTCACCTATCTCTCTTCCACACTTGACATCGTGGGACCTAACCTAACCTAACCTAAAAGTTTCAGTTTGTTTATTCCTTAAACATTCTACAATATTTCGATAAAGTATAATATTGTGTCAACATTTTTTTTTTTTTTGGCTGCGTTCAAAGCAGTAAATATGCAGAAAATATTGGAATTAATTTTAATATACGTAGCTCATTAATCACGTACCACATTGTATAAGGATTTTTATAGTTTAAATTTAGTGTCCATGCTAAATTGACTTCGGCGGGTGAGAGGTATGACGTTTGATGTTTGGGCCAATAACGTTAAAATTTAAAAAATTATATGCTATATTTTTAAAAATAATTTTTACATAGAATAAACAATGTACATGAGCACGAATAGGGCATACGTGTGCCGTATACATTAAACGCACGAACATGGTTGTGTAAACAAGGTGTGTGTTTTGGATTATATTATTACTATCGGAGTCCAACTTAATTTTTAGGTCGCATGGCTGCGAGTGGACACCCAGACCATATTGACCATCCATAGCCACGTGATAACAAAAAACCATCGGATAGCGGTGACGCACAGCGATCACCGTATATGGTTCCTTCATATCCGGGAAGTTAGAGAAGCCGACAGGGGATGGTACATGTGTCAAATTAACACGGACCCGATGAAGAGCCAACAGGGCTACTTGCAAGTAGTCGGTAAGTAGATGGTATAAAACAGGAAGAGATATATAATTCAACAATAAAATCGCATTAATATACGATAATAATATAACTAAATCTAAAAAAATTTGAAAGATTATGTGCAGCCATGCTAATTTAAGCGAATTGGACTCTCAAGAGTTCTCTCGCAAAAGTAATCCAAACTTAAATTAAAAGTTCGTTTTTTCGTCGAATTGTTCAACCAAATTATTATTATAATACTATCATCCTAAGATTTATATTTGCATGTAATAATACCCAAAATTGTATAAACCTGGGTTTCCATCGAGGTAATCGTCGATTTGGTCAGAAGCAAAAATCGTTAAAATTGTTTCATTTCAGTTAATCATGGCGTGAAAAATTAATGTATATTTACTCTATTTGTATACTCTTCAGTTCTATAAATAAATTACAAGTTATCAGAACAAAAAATTACACACGCCATTTCTATATCATACATTTATAATCATAAAATTAAGGATCATAGCAACACTGACGTATGCTTGGTTTCATCTTGAAAATACATAAACTAGATAACGAGATCAAGCGATGTTTAATGGCCGTTTCACTTAAATAATTATACTAATTTAAAAACATGATTATAAAATAATATTGACATTTTAAGACACGGGTAATTAATAGTTAATAGTTTACTGTTTAATTTTGTTTTTTGTTTTTCATTTCATTGTATCTAACGGTCATTCGTTTTTATTAAAAGCTAAAAGGTTGTGCTATACAATGTGTTGGTACTTGACGTCTGTTTGTTTTCTGAGGGAATGATTTTGTCGCTGAAATCCCGGGTAGTCATCCTCCGGGAGCTTGAGACGCTGAACACAACTCAACTGAAGTACCGATTGGCAACTACGGTTATAACCACTTCCACCACATTAAACTATATATTTACCGAGCTAGAGAACAATTTAATACTCCTAAGATCTGGTACATATAAAAATCTCGTTAAAATGTCTACACCAGGAATCTAAAACGACATTATCACCATATTATTCTCAAACGTAAAATTTTCTTGCACATTTTTTTTCGAATAAGTTTTCAATAGTTCAATAGTTATTCGACTCGTAGTAATTTTTTTTTTTTTTTTTTTTTAATGAGATTTTAACATTACATTATGATATCTCGACAATTTCGTAGTAATTATATGTGTTGTAAATAGTGTTTTTAACTAATTTTTTACTATCAAAAAATTATTAAGCAATATGGAATATCCTCGTCTCAATTCCTTCAACAGTAGAATATATTATTATTTACTATTATTACTATTATTTACTATTATTATTAGTATACGAGTTAAAAAAAATCAGAATCTCTCAGCAGTAATATGATGATGACAAACACGCGTGCACATTTCGAGCTTGAATGTTTTATTTGCGCAGAATATAATATATTATATCAACATTTCAACATGATCTGGTTGTGATACCTTAAGAAACATTGCTTATTATTTATTGATATTTTAATAAAGAAAAATAATCATGAAATGCCTAGTCAATTTTTTTTTTTGAACATTTAGTATGTTTAAAAATATTCTTAAACAATTTACGTAGCTTTATATCAGTACGTAATCTAGGAAAATAATTGAATAAGAACACAAACAATACCAAATACATTTTAACAATATTATACGTTGAAAAAAAATGCAATTACATTATTTAAATAGCATAGATTGCGGCAAATTTTAATCGTAAAATGATAACAGATACTGAATATTGAACCTCGATTGGCAATTTAGCTATTATGCAATACGGAGTACTAGACAATAGATTTATTTAACGTCTCTAATTTCTTAAGGAAGACTAAGTAATATGTGGAGTTAATTAGATCATAGCTATATTCTACTTACCCTTTTAAACACAGATTCTGGTGTTATTATAACGATGTCACACATTAAAGTCCACAGATGTCTCTTTAAATTATCATGAGGTATGATATTTATTAAAATTTTAGCATTTTGTATAGTTACAATGGTTGATGTAATATCAGCTACAGTTTTAACGAAACGAAATAATATTATATTTTATAGATAAATGTTTTTTGTTTTGTAAAAAAATGTGATATATCATATTATATTTTTGCACACATAAATGAATTTAAATAATTTTTGGCTTTTATTATAAATACTAAAAATACGTTTGATAATTTTTTTCATCAACAATCGAAGTATAATTTGTAAATAAATTATTTTTATTTCAAATTTTACGTAATTCAGAAAAATAAAACTATTTGATAATCAAAATTAATGTTTTTTAATAACTAATTAAATTTCAACAGTTAGTAACTAAATAAAAGTACTCACAAAATTCTACGAAAATAAGATATACTTAAGTAATTAATTTCCTACACAAAACAACAAGAACAAAACAAATAAAAATATTTTTAAATTAAAATAAAAGTATAGATGATAGTAGCTGAGGGTGATTATTATATTTAGTGAGATAAAAACATTAATATTATGATTATAATTTTTTTTTTTTTTTTTTGATTATTTGATAGGTATTCGTACATTTAATTTTTCTATTCGTCTATAAACTTAGTCTCGTATCAGTCAGTTTAAATTATTCTTTTCGTCTAGTAATTGATAACTTTTTTGATCACATCATTTGGATTGCAAAAAAGGTCCATTCACATTGAGTCTACTTCTAATAGATGTTTTTTGTCCTGGACGATTGTCCATAGATCGCACTATCTTGTTTTTTCCGTTTTAATAGGTTTTTCTTGGTTCTGGCTACTTCTACTCTCAATCGGTTATGTATCTTCCACGTTTCATATTTTAAACTTTGTCCTATTGATAAGCTTTCCATCACTCGTTTCCATATCGGTTCAATGTATTTTATTTTATTTTTTTTCCCATATTCTGTCTTTCTCTTTTTCGATCAGGCAATCTCCTTTTGTGCCGTGCATGGAACTCTTTCTCGATTTGAGGCACATTCTTATAGCTTCATATCCGTATAGTGAATGTTTTAAATCTTGATTAAATTTGTATTTTTAAAATTCAATCTTCAATTATAATCTTTCAATTTCAGTTACCGTCGTCCTACGTATATCTAGGGCCTAATTGGAGTGTGGATTTTAAATATCTCTGTTGGTCTGAAATACCCTGTTATAATTCTGCTCGTTTTAGACTCGTTGAGTGCTATATCAATGGTTTTTGCGTATGCCGATGATGCTTTCTAAAATGGACATGAGTATAGCTGAGTAGCTTAGCGTTATCGCTACGGTTCTCAAGGTAGTAGCATCTGCTCCCCATTTGAAGTCTACAAATTATCGCAATATATTGTTTCTGTTATTGATTTTGGCTCGAGTGTTCTCGCAGTGTTTTTTAAAGGTTATTGATCTGTCCAGCGTTATATCCAGGTAACTTAGGAATTTTGTATGCTTTAGGTACATAACTTCTCATTGGATTTTTAGTTCCTTTCTGCATTTTTATTTCTTAGGTGGAAGGAACGTTTTTGCGTTTTTTAAGGGTTCGATCTTAGTTGGATTTTTATTTAGTAGTGTACACTTCTTTCAGGGCTAGTCTCAAAACATTTTCTATTTCTCCAAAGGTGTCTTCATGAAAGGAAATAGGTAGATCATCTGCATACAAGAAGTGTTTTGTACTTCTTCTTCTTTTCGGTATACAACCCTTAAGTTGGTTTCGCAATTAGATACTCGCTCTCTAGTCTTTTCTGTTCTCGGTCTAGCCTTTTTAGTTCGGTGTAACTTGTTAATCCAGCCTCGGAGATCATTAGATTCACAAATGAAATTCTTGAACGTCCTCGGTCCCTTTTACCTTCAATTATCCCTTCTATGGGTTAGTTCATTTTTATGTCTCAATATATGACCCATCATGTTCCATTGTCTTGTTCCGATGGCTTTGAGTATCAATCTTACATATTGATCATCTATTTCACTGAGTATGTTTTCGTTGGTACGGTGCTCTATTTAACTCACTCAGAGCATCCTTCTTCAACACCAAATTTCGAAACTTTCTAGTATTTGTTGTTTTGCTTTATTTAATATCCATGTTCCGTAACCATAGAATGCCATACTTCTTACATATATTTTTATGAAACGTTTTTTCATTTTAATACTCATGTTATTGGAGCACAAAAAATTTTTTCTTTTTCATAAATGCTGACTATGCGATTTTGGATATTATTGGTTGATTATACTGTTGATTATAATGCAAAATTAATCTAGATAAAGATAAAAATAAAAAGATATTTTCAAAAAATATTATTTTTTTGTCAATACTTCGTATTATAATAATTTCTATGAAGACTCAATTATAATAATTATTATCAATAGGCATCTAGGTGTTTAATGTTTATTGTAATAATCTAGTATACCATTAAGCAGTATTTATATATAATGTATAATATTTAATGATAATTAATCACTAAAATGTTACACAAAAAAATAAAAAATGAAAATTGCTCTGTACGTATCAGGATTAATACAGAATACATAAAAAATAATTTTAAGTTAACAATATTGTTTTTCATATAATATTAATTTGATGATTTTCATTATTCTATAAGTAACTACGACTTTACGGGTTTCAAGAGTGAAGTAATGACTATTCAGCGTTACATGTGTATACTAAAATCAAATACCTACTATATTAGGAACTTTCATGGAAAAATAAGAAATTAAGTATAAAAATACCAAAAATATTTTCTCGACATGAAAATACAAACAAAATGTCATCCCAAGAAATAATAATTACTCATTAATAATACATGAATTATTATTATGAATATAACATCTATATGTATAAAAGAAAGTCAGGTTAGTTACAGAATATATAATTCAAGAACGGCTGGACCGATTTTGATGATCTCTGATTTGTTGGATTCGTCTCCCTACAAGAATAAAAATAAATCTGATCTTGACAAGAATACAGACAATTATTTAGATAAATAAAAATTTTATATTTGATAAGTAATTAGATAACTTAGTGTTATTTATCTACATAAGATAAAAGATGACAAAATATC